TTAATTGCCTAGGTACATTTTTTTCAGAGTTAAAAGCAATTCTTGTCTTGTATTTCTACTGTGGAAGCTTTTAGGAAATGTTTACATTTAATAGAAACGTTTGCAGTTTTACAGCATCTTGAGATGAAGTTGTGATACTGCACTTTGAACTTTTTCTAAACATGGGAAGTGTCTTGTAAAATTGATTTTTTTTTTCCCCTTAATTTTTCAGAGTAATTTTGTGGAAGTGAGAAGAAGCCTTGATTTTGTTTCATCTCCTAGATTATTAACATGGTTAAGTTAAAAAAAAAAAAGTCAAGATAACTGACGGTGCTTGTGATGTACAGTTTCCGTTTATTGCCCAATGTGAAGTTGAGCACAGGGTTTTGCTGAGAGTGTGTATCTGCTTGCACATCTTGCTGTACTGGTTAAATATGTTCTTATCTCAAGTGCTCATCATTTTCAAAAAGCTGACTTAGCACAACCATTCCTGGAGTTCTGCAAAATAAAGAGTTTGAATGGGCTCGTCTCTGGTCCAGGCATAATCAATTGAGCTAATTAAAACTGCTGAAACAAACCTGATTGACTTTTCATGAAACAAACTGGGAAGCTCTTAGTTATGTGCTCGGCCAGCAGAACTGCAAGGCAGAAGCAGGTTGTGCAGGAAGGGGGGGTTGGAATAGTGACATTTTGACTCAGCACCATTTCTTGTGGTGAGAGCAGCTTGTGTGTGCTCAGGAACTGACCGTCTGCACGTAGGAATACCCTGTATTTTCAGGGAGAAGACAGTCCCTCCCCAGTTTTTGCTTGTTCTTAGCAATGCACAAATGTTTATAGAAAGCAAACCAGTGAATCATTAGAAGTGTTCTTCATACAATGTCTCCTTTAACTGCAGGCTGGTGGTGTGCTGGAATGTGGATATCTTTGTGGCTGTTTCTTTCATCAGTCTGATTCTTTTGAAATCATTTTATTCTGTATTTTCCGTACTAGAGGTTTACAGAAAAATGTTTATACTACAGCTTCAAACATATACTGAAACACTAGAAAACCTAAAGAATTTTTGTGGATTCCTTATATTGAGATCAGATGTGGGAATGTCATATTGAATATCTGCTGCACAAAACTCAGATGATTTTAATGGAAAATAAGGATCTGAAATGGTATGTGCCTAGCAGCAAAATAAAGAGGCAAGGAAGGGGAACGGACAGAGAGAATTATGTAATGGCTCAGAATTACACCTTGGTGGTTGTAAGTCCATTTCTCTGCTGTGCTGACAGAGAAAGTAATAGCTGCATTTGTGTCTTTTTCAATAATGTGAAAGTAGTTTCTAAAGGGAAGTGTAGTATGTGAGAGAGCCTGCAACGTAAGCAACACATTAATCCATCTGATTGAAATGTCCTATGGGCTGAGGCAGTTTCAGCTGCAGGGCAGTTTGAAAAAAAAAATACAGCAGTTTTTGAAGTGTGTGACAAAACTTTGGACATTTTTAATTTTTTCAATAATAATGTGTCAACTGAAACTTGGGCTTATTGATTTTTATTACTCTAAAAGTTAGCTTAGAATGTAAATGGCAATAATACTGATGATCAATAACTGAAGATGAAGTGCATAAACAGGATATTTTCAATAGGAAAGCTTATTTGATCATGAGTCAAATGGATTTCCTTGTTAAGGTTAATTGTTATTGAAGCAAAACTTAATAACTTCAGTAAAAAGCAGTAAAGTGTTTATATTATGTGGTTGTTATCATGTTCACTTGTGCTCTGCCTGCATTTCATAGACATGGTTTAAATTGTGTGGGTATATGCATATCTGCATGTTTGGGAGGGGAATGTAACCTTTGTGTTAGGGAAATCACGGTAGGTCTTTGACTTGTAATCTGCTTTAGGGCAGGAAGGCTTTGGCAACCCCAAGCAAAATGTGCCACATTGGCTGCAAATGATGAGAATCAACCTGTACCTTGACTCTTCCACCTCATCTGTTACAAGTAATATAAACCTGCTGCTTCTGTGTTTCTTGCCACTCACACTTGTGCTGGCCTTGACTGGTGGAGGTGCCTGCTCCGGTGAAGGGAACTAGAGTCGGGAGCAAGCCCCAGTAACGTTTAAAACAGAGGTTTATAGGCTCCGAATTAGATTTATATAAACTGTAACTGTTCTATGCTTAGGAAGAAGACCTTTAACTATGGAAGTACAAATTATTTGGGGGGATTGAATACTGGCACTGATCAGCAGACTTTGGGCTCTTGGACCTTCCTGAGAAGAAGGGAAAGGATGGCAATGGACATTGCTGGCAAATCCTAGCTGAAAGTGTTTAGTTTAAAATTTTGGGCTAGAACTTTTATATCAGATGACGACATTTTGTTCCTGTCCAACATTGCTAAGAGAACATTTAGTGACAGGTGATCTTATTTTAAAACAGAACATTTTTCATCACAGATGCAATTGTATTCAGAGAAAAATATTTCTGTGGAATTCTGCTGGTCTCTGGAGAGCTTATGAGAAGCATGTATCTGAAGAAGGAGAGAATTTGTGAAGAAAGGAGCACTTAATCACTACTAAGACTTTATTTTTTTACCTAGAGTATTGATATTTTAACTTCATTCTTCTTAAAGGATGTCGTTCCTTGAAAATGCAAAGATTTTTTGAGGTGTGTGAAGATTACTAGTGTTTTCTGTCTTGAGTTGGATTTATCCTATGTTTTTTAGAGGCTGCTCTTCCAAACTCATTTCAAAGGATCTCTTTCCTTTGAGTTTATCTGGGGTCTCTGTTCTCTGACATGAACAACTTGGAGACTGGAAAAAGAATATGAAAGTTTTCCTGTTTCTCATCATCATGGCTGGGCGTCACGAACGAAGATTTGGGGAGGACTCTACCCACGTTTGTTACAAGTGCACTGGTGACTAAAAAGGCCAATATGAGAAAGACACGTCCGGTTGCAAAAGGCACAGCAGAAGGACTCCCTAGGTGGTCTATTCTGCAAGGCACGAATCTTTCTGCATTTCCTGTTTTCTAACACAGTGTCATTCTTCATCTGCATGACATTAGTCATAATTTATATGATATCTTCTAGTATCATATAAATGATATGAGCCTTATAGTTCTTTCTGAACAAGAAAGAACTTCTTTTTGGCTTCGTAAGAGCTGAAGATCACTCCATTTCTTGTTGAGGTAGGGGATCATTATTTCTTATTGTGTCACTTTATACTGGATTAGTAAGATAATGGGATAAATTAGGATACAGACTTAAGTTTATGTTACCAAAATTTTTAAGCTTTACAGTTTATAAAAGGTAGAGGATGTTGATTTAAAGATCATTTCCTAGAATGTACCATGACAGTGTTTTTAAATGCTCTGTTAAAAATGGATCCAGGAGAACTAAATTAAATATTTATAATTATTTTATTAGAAAAGACTTATTAAAAGATTATCATAGCTGAATCATTATACCTTCAAAAATCTTTTAAGTGTGTCTTTTCTTAGTGATAGAAGTAGACAGGTCTGCATCAGTTGCATTGACAGGTTAGTTAGAAGTAGACTGGTGAAATTGCATTAGTATTGCTGTCATGAGCACTCTGTAGAGAGTTTAAATGGCTTTTATTCAGGTTCACTTTTGTTCACTTTATTATGTTCACTTTCTGAAACATATACCTTTCTGGTTGGTCAGTTTTCCAGCACTTGTATCACCATAGTGTTTGCTTTGGAGGAGCTGAAATTAGTTTTTGATATACTAGCACTCTTTTCAGCTAGTAAATAAAACTGGTTTTACTTTTCAAGTTACTGTATTCCAGCATTCTCATTATATGCTTTTGACTAGTTTTGTGCCCTTTGGGTGAGTTGATGCCAGAGACTGTCAGTATGTAAACCTCAGAATAGTGATTTTGTTTTTTGTGCATTAGAAATGTCAACTGAAATAATTTAAAATTCATAATTCATCTTTGTTCTCTGGTAGTCCTGTTCTCTTTTTCTTAAGGTGTTTTACATTAATCTAGAAGCATTTTCTGATGTCTTAGGCTGGTTAGTTCCTTGTGTTTCTGTAACAATATTTCACACATCTCTTGTTTTAATGTAGAGTGTCGGCAAACAGCTTCTGATGTCATGGTCAGACTTTTTTTGGTTTTTTTAATTAGCTTTGTCTGCTTCAAGTTGGTCTCTTAAACATAAGATAGTGGGAGTGTTTTGTTCCGTAAATTTGCATATGTTAAATTAATAGGCTGATCTAGACATAGTTGATTTAGTCCAAACCTAACTGAGTCCTTACATTTCTGCCATGGCCTTAATATCACTTTGAGCTAGACAGAGGCAGTTATACCAATTACTTCTTTTTTTAATTTATTTACCTACTTACTTTTCCTGTCTCTTGCCTGTCAGCAGTCAGTGCTTTAGAAACTTAATGATTTCAAACCAAGTATTTCAGCAAATCAAATATGAAACATTTGTGTTCAAGAGTCAAAATGTTATATAGGTGTTAATTGTTAGTAATTAATGACTAATTAAATAATAAAAATGATTTTCAATGGTAAATTTTCAAAGACAAAACTAAAAACGAGGGCAAAATTACGATTGGTGATTGAGATTCAATTTCAGCAGATGCTGCTGTGTCAAAAAAGATTAGCGGTTGAGTGAAGAATACGATTAATTCTTGTTTTTTCCTTGTCTGTACTGCCTCAAAACCTCTTACTTGTAAAGGTAATACTATTGTATGTGACAGACAGGATTGTAGAATCATTTAAAGGAAGGAACCTTAGGTGTAGCCCAAGCTCCTACTCACAGAAGGATTAGCACTGAACTCACACAGCATTGTCTGAAGCTCTTGTCAAGTTGGATCTTGTTTTGATTATTTCTTAGTTTTGTGATGAAGAAAAAGCAGTTGGAAAGAAGAGCGGTTAAACAATTAAACTTCTCTGAAATATGAAATTAATCTTTGAAAATATTCACTGATGCATGAATTTTTGTGAAATATGGGAAGTATGCGAAGCAACATAGGAAGACTTTTTGATAAGTGAATGTTTTTCATTTTAGAGCCTTGATGAGTACGAAGATGACGAAGCAGGGCAGAAGGAACGAAAGAAGGAGGATGCTATTACCCAACAGAATACGATACAAAATGAGAGTTCCATTGGAGATACCTCTAGCTCATACTTACTCCAGGTGAGATCTTAACACTTGTTCATTTTGATATTTTTCTCAGTTTTAAAACTCATACCGCCTTCTTTTTTGTACTTCTTAACAGTAGATTATACCCAACATGAAAAAAGGTTAGGAGTTGACACATTACTAAAAATGGAGCATTGGGTTCCATTCCTCAAACTCAGTACTGCTGAGACCCAGTTCTGACAACAGAATCCTATTCTTCTGTAGGGACATTGAAGGTAATGGTGTTGATGTTCACTGTAGAACTTACTATGTAATGAGAGGAAGAAAAACAGGGAGATTCAAGTGAAAAATACTGACAGGTTTAGAATATTCAATTAGTTGGAGGTAGACTTTTAAATCAGGACAGACTTTCCTAATTTATTTTGCCAATTAATAAACTTTTAATTATAGATTCTGGGATTTAAGCAACACAGAACCTCCTAGGGAAAACACCTTGCCTCTGCGAAACCTTTTCTCCCTTTTTTTTACTCTCCAGTCCCCTGATCAGACTCATTCTTGCAGCCCCCCTCCTCCGACATCAAAACATTGCCAACTGTGCCCAGTACACCCCTCCATACTATGCTACCTGTGGCAAATATTCTGTCTCTTCCGCATAGTGCCCTAAGTCTCTTAAGCGAGTCTTTTTTTACTCATCTTCTGATACCTAACAGCATGTCCAAACCCAGCTGTACAAACTGAGGCCATCCAGCTCTGCCCTGTGACTCCAACAGAGTCAATAGCACGTGCACAGGGAATAAAATACACAGACAGACCAAGCACATGGTTTCACACCACCCATAACTGGAGGGGGCATTGCTGGATTTGCTGGATCTGGATGAACCTTCTTTCTAAAATTTTGCCCAGTCTTTTGTATGCTCATGAGTGCTTTTAACATTTAGAATAGCCTAAGAAAAGAAGTCTACAGCTTAATTGCCTGCAATGTGGAGATCAGTCTCCTTTTGTTTAAGTTAAATCTGTCATTTGCACTCTTTTTCCTTGTGATTTCAGCAAGTTGTCCCAGTGAAAGATACAGGGAACAACTACTCCCTCTTTATATGACTGAGTGCTGCAGAGAGAGTGCGGCTCCTCTCAGCTGCTGGTTCCTTAGGCTGAAGAATTCTGTTTATTTAGTTGTTCCGTGTACAGGAGATACTCAGTAATGTTCTATACTTTCCCGGTTTGACTATATTTTGTTTGGTACCTGGAAACAGAACCGATGAAGTGTTCAGTACAGCATGCAGTTGTAGAGTGGTTTAGTGTTGGGTTTGGTTTTGTTCTGTTTCTTTTCTGATAATTTCTGATATCTGCCTGTTTGTCTCCTGGGTACTGCATTTACTGCTTATGTTATGTATGCCTAATCTAACTTAACATTTTGGAGTTATCTGTGAGTGATAATAACAAGCTTAGAGGCTGATGCATATGTAAATTCAGAAACATATTTGCCTTTTGTCTCACTTGTGTACACTATGCTTATGTACACTAAATTTAATCTCCTGTTTCACCTCAGTGCCACTCCCAGTAAAGAAATCCTGCATGTTTTCACAGTTGACCCATATCTTTTCTGTTCAGAATAGCATCTCTGGACAGCTCCTCCCTAAATATATTGAAAAGCAGGTCCCAGCAGGGGTTCCTATGACACTCTTGTGGGTGCTCCATCCACTGTGAAAGCTGACCATCAGAGTCCACCATTATTTTCTGTCTTTTCTCCAGTGATTTATTCACAAAAGGACATTAGCTCTTATTCCAACTGTAGTTTAAGTTCTTTAAGAGGCTTTGGGGAATGTTTCTGAAGTGCACTAGGCTGTCAGTTGAATTTCTCTCCTTGACACTTTTTTATAACTTAAAAAAGCTGTATTAGCTTTGTGAAGTATAACTATTCTACAAATGCTCTGGTGACTCTTCTACATGATATTGTATTTATTCACTCATTCCATACTTGTTCTAGGCTTCCTAGCACCACTTTATCCAGTATAAGTATCAAGTTTACTCATCTGTAGTTGTCTGATCTGTTTTAGAATCTTCTTAAAGATGGCGATTATGTTACCCATTGGTACTAGGACAGTTTTAAATGAGGTTATATATGATCTCTAGTAGTTTAGCTGTTACATTTTTCAGTAACATCAGTTTCTTCAAAGCTAAAGGAGTAAATTAATGCCTCATTCTGGCAAGTAACTTTTAAAAAATTTATTTTATTAATTGGTTTTCATGTTCTACACATGCTTCTGTTGGAAGTAGACCCTTTGAGTCCTCCATGAGGGAGTGCTCTGATGTGAGACTCTTACCATGCTTTTTCAGTGAAGACCAACAAAAATATTTCTGCAGAGAAACTGTCTCCTTTGAGTATGCCTCACAGAACTGGATCTGTTTGTCTTTGTAGATTTGTCAGGATTCCTCATTCTGAAATGTTTTTGTGCTTTTTCCAAGTTGTTTGTTAGACTCTGTCTTACAGTGTTCACCCTGTTTTCACTTCTTCAGCAAATATTCCAGAAGTTGTCATTTTTAGTTTCCCCTAGTGGTATTATTACGTAATGCTTTGGCTATAGTCCCATGCCCCTTTCTTTTCATCCATATTTTCTGTTCTTCTTGACCAGCAATCTCAGTTTTTATTTACCAAACTGTCTGTATTAATTGTATCCTACATGTTTCCAAGTTTGTCACCTCTGTATTCCAACAGGCACTACTTTATTGACAGAGCACAGCAGGAGTGTCCTGTCACAGACAATACATAAGAGACTCAGGCCTCAAATCTGGCAAAGACCCAGGGTGGCACATGTACAGAACAGATGGAACCTTAGAAAGTTGTAGCTGCTAAGACTTAATCAGTTTATTACTGTCTCTGTCAATTTGCTTTTTATTATAAGACTTAGAAGTTGCCCAGTTTGAAGAGAATTTGACAGCAGTGTTATTTCAACTTTGATGGCTTAGCTGCCTTTTGATTCTACTGTGCTAGTTAAGAATAATACTGTTTTTAAAAGTAGAGTTTCTGTTATAGATGTACGAATTTGAGTTGCCATTGACCAGTATGCATTTTATGTGTGTGTACTAAGCAGAATAAATACATTTATGTAGTTACAGACATTTCACTGATTTATTCATTCTTATTATCATTTCAGGAAATTTGTAAATCTATAATTCCTGTGACTGTAGTAAACAAGACAGTATTGATTTCATGTTTGATGGGCAAATATGTTGCTGAATAACATTTTATTTCCAATCCCTAATCTGATTTTTCATTTCTGTTTTAACATCATCATAAGTTGCTGTTCTCCTCTTTGTGGGCAAAACACACATTTTTTTAAAAACTCTGGCTGAACTTGAAGTTCTTGATCCAAAGCACAAAGATACCAGATTTGTTTAAGAATAGATGTAAAAATATAGCAGACTTCGGAGTGTTTTCCGTGAAGCAGACTTGTTTGACTGAAATTGTCTTCAGAATTGTTTTATATTGGAAATATGAAAGACGTAGGTCTGGCAATGTTATAAGCATTGAAAAACAATTCCAATCAGAACTGTTAAGTTTAGCAAAAGATAGTGTGGAAAGCCACACCTCATGAGGTGAATCAACATTAAATCCACTCCCAGATGTAAGTACTGTATCTGGCTCTGACTTTCTTGCTTGATCTTCCTCCTATTTTTAGTGCTGCAATTCAGTTGTTTTCATCTTGTGAGTTACAGTGCTGTGGACTACTCCACCGGGATTGCAGACTGAGTGTGATAAGTCATATGTAAGGAAACTTCAGTAGTGAATAGGTTAGGTGGCTGGTGAAGTCATCTGAACTGGGTTTATTAACATGACCCTTTAGTTATACCTTGTGCATTTAGTCATAAGTCATCTCTTGAAATTGAAGGAAAACCATATCTGTCATTTTTTTATCCTTTTGTTCTAAAAAAGCTTAATGTTTTACCAGAACATTGCAGACACTGTCTGAAAGGAATGCAGTCCAAAGATACTTCCATAGAAGTGCAGTTCTGATTGCTTCAATGCCATTCCTTTTCTTAAGTGAGACCTAACACATTGAAATTTTTGGAAGCAGTGTTATATGTCAGTGTTATGAAGCTGTAAATGTTTAATAGAGTCTTATGAAGCTATGCTGAAAGCAGTAAATAAAGTTAGGCAATGAAATTCCCTAGTGACTTCTTAGCTGTGTGGCAGACTGCGAGAAATGCAGGGATCTGAACTGTTGCGTGCATCTCTGTTAGGAAACACAGCTGAAAAACTGCTTGACACAAGCTTCTCCAGAGTTTTATACTTGAATATCATGCACTGCAGTTTTTGCCTGTCTAGTTTGCCTTTTTTGGCTTTTCACTTTATGTAGCAGTGTTATATCATACAACATCATTTTACAATTACTCTCATTATCCAAAGTATGTGATAATAATATTCGTATCCATTCATACCTGACCACAGTGTTTTAAAGGTATCTGGCATCTAGGTTTCAGGTAGTTCTTGCAAAGAAGAACTGTGTGCATGCATTCAAGAGTAATTATTCATCTTTTATAAGTATATTGCCATGATGTTGCTTTATGTTAATTTCTGCCTGTAGAGAAGATGCAGTTGTGCTACATACAAGGCACGCCCGAATGTGTTAAACATGTGCTTTCTTTTCTGCGCTACATTTCTTTAGATGTTAGTCCAGGAATTATTGTACATAGTAACATGATTATAATATTGGTATTGTTTTAAAAAGTGAATAAGAATGTGATTAAAATATAGAAATATGTAAATTAGAAGGAGGTGTGTTTGCGTGTGTGAAGTCCTAAATAATTCTGCCAAATCAGGTTGTGGGACTCTAAAATTTGACTTAACTACCAGATAATATTCATCTTGGGTTTTCTGTTTGCAGATTTGGAATGTGATGCAATTCACAGAGATGATGCGAAAGCAGTCACTAGTATCCACAAAGCACTTAAGTAATAATAGTGAGTGCAATAGAAGGACTCATGAGGAAATCTTATTGTATGTCTAAAAATGTTCCCATAAAAATGCATTAAAAAGTATTCAAGTTCAGTGTTAA